TGAGGGATATAGTTAAATTTTTATCCTTGAACATTCAGGGATTGAATTCTCCTAATAAAAGATCACTTCTTACTAATTTACTTTGGAAAGAGAAAATAGATATATGTATGATCCAAAAGACGCGTTGGTTAATAAAAGATTTGGATAAAATGAAATTTCAGGGATATACGGTTTTAACAAATGCCTCATGGATAAATGGGAAAAAAAGAGGAGTCTCTATTTAGAAGCCAACTGTCAGGATTAAAAGTTGACACCTAGAACCTTAGAATGTCCGTAAATAACTTCTCCAAGAATAGTCAAAATACTTGCCGAGGTCAGGGACACAGAATCAGATACAAAGATGAGGGAAAGCCAAAAGTCAAGGATACCAGATATCAGGAAAGTCAAAATAACAGAAGGACCAATCAGATTATATTACATTCGCTGCATGCGAATACAGCTTTCAATCAAGTAAGTTGGACCTTCATGTTCCAAACATTAATTAACTTCAGGCAATATCTGCTCTCTATACCAATCTCTCAGCTATGATAATAGGTTTGGGTATTACCTTTTCTTGGTTTAAGGTTCGAAATGGAACTAGGCAGGGTTGCCCCCTCCCCCTATGCTATATATCCTTATTTTGGAGCCCCTTTCTCAATATATCTGAATGAATAAAAACATCAAAGGAATTAAATTTGACCATAGAGAGGCAATACTAAGTCTATATGCTGATGATGTCATAATGACATTAACAGATCCTGAAAATTCGATATATTGTCTCCTTAAAGAATTAGAAATATTTGGTAATATGGCAAACTATAGGCTTAATACATCTTAGTAAACTATTATGAGCTGGAAGCTAAATAAGGATACCAAAGATATACTTAAGAGAGAATATACCTTTAAGTGGGACACAGATAGTACAGAGTATTTAGGTATAATTCTTACTTCCCAGGCAAAAAATGTAATCAAGGGTAATTGTGAGGCATTGTTGAATCAGACCATTAGACTGCTCAATGATTTGGAACTCTGATGGTTGGAATGAATTAATGTCATAAAATAGTATGTGCTTCCTATCTGGAACTCTCTCTTTGGGGTGATTCCCACATGTTTACATAGGTTGAACTTAATTAAAATACAGAGAACATTTTTTGATTATATATCCAAAGGGAAAAAGCCTAGAATAAAGAGAAAGATATTGGAGAAAAGTATAAATAAAGGAGGACTAGCAACCCCTAATATTACAAAATATCATGATGCTGCTATTCTTAAACATATTTTTAAATGGTTTAACCCCTTAAGGACACATGACATGTGTGACATGTCATGATTCCCTTTTATTCCAGAAATTTGGTCATTAAGGGGTTAAAACAGAATCTTAAGATTATTGGTATAATATTGAAAAATGTATGCTGGAAATATCGGACCTTTCTCTTTTATTGTGGATTGATCCCAAAAGACTGGGTATTGACAGGACTACTGTTAACAATGGTGGGGAAAGCTATTTTACTTATCAAATTCTAAAGTTCTGGCCTAGATTCAAGATAGAATACAACTTGCCATGGGATAACATTATTCGATCTAAGAGCAGTTTAAGCCTCCTAGAATATAATATGGAGGAAATAAATCTATGTACATGGAAAAAGAATGGTATAAATGTTTTAACTGATATTTTAAATGGTTCTTATATAAAATCTTTCCACAAAATAGTGCTCGAATTCCATATTCCCCCAAAACAAGTCCTCCGTTATCTCAGAATTAAAAGCTATTTGAGAAAATTTACATGTAAGAAAGACAATGAAATCAAGGGATTTGAACATTTATTGAAATATGGAGATAATGTCAGAATTTTGATGAGAAGTACCATTTTTGATGATGAAGATCCATCTATAACAGACCCAGTTATAAGTATACTAAATAATTGGAAAAGTGACCTTGAAATAGAGATTAGAGTTTTGGACTGGCATAAGATTATACCAGAAGTTAAAACATATATATATATATTGCCTTAATCTCATAGAGCTACAGTATAAAATATTAACTAGATGGTATTTGTGTCCAAAGAAAATTAATAAATTGTTCTCTACATATTCCTCTCTTTGCTGGCGTTGTAACCATTAAGAAGGTTCTTATACTCATATCTGGTGGAACTGTCAGAAATTAATCCCTTTTTTGGAATTAACATATAACATATTAGAGAACCTCACGGGCATCCCCATGATTCTCTCTCCTAAAACTTTCCTATTACATCTTGACTGGCCTAAATTGTCGCAGAAAGATAGATACATAACAACTCATATTCTGATAGCAGCAAAAAAATGTATTGTAAAACTTTGGGAGCAGAGTGAGTCCCCAACATGGAAAACCCAAATCTCCTTCCAATTAAAGATGGAGAGGGAGCCCCTGCCATAATTAAATATGGATGGAATATAAGAAACAACTTTATCCAAGAAGCATAAAGTATATATGTATATATATATATATATATATATATATCTTAAAAATAAAATCTGAGAGATCTCCCTGAATAGATTCATATCTGTGTTTCTTTGTATCTTGCCTCCCCCCCTTCCCCCCCACCCACCTCTCCCTCCTCCATGGGATCTTGTGTTAAAGGTTCAAAATACAAATTACGGTCTATATGTATGGTATGCATTATGAAGATCTGTAATTTGAAACCTTTTTTGTATTTTCCAATGACTAGAGACTAGATTTGAGCGGACACCTGGATGTTCGGGTCCAGCGGGTTTGGCCGAACTTTAAAAACAAGTCCGGGTTTGGGATCGAACTTGACACCGAACCCGAACCCCATTGAAGTCAATGGGGACCCGAACTTTTGGCCACAAAAATGCCTCTAAAACGTCCTGGAAAGGGCTAGAGGGCTGCAAAAGGAAGTAAAATGGGGGTAAGAGTAGGACAAGTGCCCTGAAATCAAATGTGGATAGGGAAATCACTTAAAATAACATAAAAATTAAAAATACAGCTGAGCCATAAAATAGCACTAGATGGAATCTTTGATTTTAGCTTTGGAAGAACATAAATCAAAATCTAAAGCATGGCTGTCAGGAGGATCAACAGAATTATCCATTTGAGAGAGGGTTGGAGTGCAAGGTATTCTCTTTCATTGTTCAAACTGAGCTCAACTCCTGATGCATGGAGAAAAGGCCTTCACAAGCCTCTGTTACTGTGTACATAGTTTATACTAAGTGACCCATAAGTTGAGGAGGCGATGACTGTGGTGGTGTAGGGGGAAGCAGCGGTGGAGGAGGAGGAGGTAGCCAACACTGTTTTTTATTTGTTTGTTTGTTTTTTGTTTTTGTTTTTTACTTGGGGTAGCCCCCAAAATATTGGGACATATAAAAAAAGAAACATTTGTGGCCTGCGGTGCATTTCTTGCAGTCCTGATGCGTGGAGAAGTCCTCAACTCCTGATGCATGGAGAAAAGGCATTCACAAGCCTCTGCTATTGTGTACATAGTTTATACTAAGTGACCCATAGGTTGAGGAGGCGGTGACCGTGGTGGTGTAGGTGGAAGCAGTGGTGGAGGAGGAGGAGGTAGCCAACACTGTTTGTTACATATATATATTATTTTTTTAATTGGGGTAGCCCCCAAAATATTGGGACATATAAAAAAAGAAACATTTGTGGCCTGCGGTGCATTTCTTGCAGTCCTGATGCGTGGAGAAATCCTCAACTCCTGATGCATGGAGAAAAGGCATTCACAAGCCTCTGCTATTGTGTACATAGTTTATACTAAGTGACCCATAGGTTGAGGAGGCGGTGACCGTGGTGGTGTAGGTGGAAGCAGTGGTGGAGGAGGAGGAGGTAGCCAACACTGTTTGTTACATATATATATATTATTTTTTTAATTGGGGTAGCCCCAAAAATATTGGGACATATAAAAAAAGAAACATTTGCGGCCTGCGGGGCATTTCTTGCAGTCCTGATGCTTAGAGAAATGCTCAACTCTTGATGCATGGAGAAAAGGCCTTCACAAGCCTCTGCTATTGTGTACATAGTTTATACTAAGTGACCCATAGGTTGAGGAGGTGGTGACCGTGGCGGTGTAGGTGGAAGCGGCGGTAGAGGAGGAGAAGGTAGCCAACACTGTTTTTTATTTGTTTTGTTTTGTTTTGTTTTGTTTTTTTAATTGGGGTAGCCCCCAAAATATTGGGACATATAAAAAAAGAAAACACTGTTCCGCAGAGCGACTGACCCATGCGTGCTGCAGCTGAAACTCCACTATCGCCTGCTGCTGCTGCTCCTACAGTCTTAGAGGCGGTGAGCGTGAAGGCTGAAGTTACACTGCAGCGCAGACAGGCGAGCAGCAGCAGGGTGAGAACGCCAAAAGCGAGCACAGACACTCTACAGTGACCTACACTGCAGGACTTGTGTGGAGCCAGAGGAATAACGCCTGGTGGGCGTAACAAGGACGAATCGACTGCTGCGCTCATGGAGGACGACCAGGCATGCAGTGAGGCAACGAACCCCAGCCAAGGGGCGGAGATGAGGAGGAAGTGCACAAGGAGTTGTAACGGCGCCTGGCATATTACCGAGAGGCACCCCTTTAGAGGAGTTTGTCAGCAGGACCTTTTGGAAGTGCAAGCCTTGCCAGTAGACAGAGGGCGACCTCCATTAACCCAGATGAAGGAAGAAGGGAGCACAACCTCCCTGGCCCACAAGCTACCATACAATGCCTTCAAAGACTTCAAAGAAGCAGAAGAAGGCATCGATGACTTTTTACAAGACTTTGAGCGCCAGTGCCTACTCCAAGACGTGGACCCCAGCGACTGGGTCACCATCCTGGCCAGCAAACTAGTGGGGAAGGCAGTGGATATTTACCAGGCTGTACCAAAAGAGCATATTAGAGACTATCCATTTATTACCCAAATCCTCCTGGCCCGGTATGCGGTCACCCCCGAGCAATACCGCCGAAAGTTTAGGGAGACCTGGAAAGGGGAGAAGGACTCCCATGTGGAGTGGGCATGCCGCATCCCAAGGGCCACCCAGAACTGGCTGAACTCTCATCAAGCCAAGTTCCCGGAGGAGATCAGCTCGTCATGCTAGAGCACTTTTTCAATGGGCTCCCCAACGACAAGGCAACGACTCATTTGTATGTCATCCATATCAACTTTCGATGCCACTTTCTGCGCCTACCATGGTGACCACGGGTAACGGGGAATCAGGGTTTGATACTGGAGAGAGAGCCTGAGAAATGGCTACCACATGCAAGGAAGGCAGCAGGCAGGTAAATGACCCACTCCTGACGCAGGAAGGTAGTGATGACAAATAACAATACAGGACTCTTTAGAGGCCCTGTAATTGTAATGAGTCCATTTGAAATCCTTTAACCACACTATTTGACGCTTCTATTTGGTTCTATAAACCAAAAAATGGGAATTTGTCAAAGTGCGCTGTAAACACAGTATTTGATGCTTCTATTTGACACTCAGATATGAAGTGCAGAGGCCAAATGTACTATTTAGCAGATTACCACCCAGAAAATAAGAATGTTTACAACTGCACTTTAACCGCACTATTTGACGCTTCTATTTGACTCTCAGATATGAAGTGCAGGGCCCAAATTTACTATTTAGCAGATTAGCACCAAAACAATTAGAATTTTTACAACTGAGCTGTAACCGCAGTATTTGACGCTTCTATTTGACTCTCAGATATGAAGAGCACGCCCCAAATTTACTATTTAGCAGTTTAGCACCCAGAAAATAAGAATGTTTACAATTGCGCTGTAACCGCAGTATTTGACGCTTCTATCTGACTCTCAGATATGAAGAGCACGCCCCAAATGTACTTCTTAGAAACCAAAAAATGGAAATTTGTCAAAGTGTGCTGTAAAGACAGTATTTGACGCTTCTATTTGACTCTCAGATATGAAGTGCAGGGCCAAATTTACTATTTAGCAGATAAGCAGCCAGAAAATAAATATGTTTACAATTGCGCTTTAACCGCAGTATTTGACGCTTCTATTTGACTCAGATAGGAAGTGCATGGCCCAAATGTACTATTTAGCAGTTTAGCACCAAAACAATTAGAATTTTTACAACTGCGCTGTAACCGCAGTATTGGACGCTTCTATTTGATTCTCAGATATGAAGAGCATGCCCCAAACGTACTTCTTAGGAGCCCAAAAATGTGAATTTATCAAAGTGCGCTGTAAACACAGTATTTGACGCTTCTATTTGACTCTCAGATATGAAGTGCAGGGCCCAAATTTACTATTTAGCAGGTTATCACCCAGAAAATAAGAATGTTTACAATTGCCCTGTAACCGCACTATTTGACGCTTCTATTTGACTCTCAGATATGAAGAGCATGCCCCAAATTTACTGTTTAGCACCAAAACAATTAGAATTTTTACTACTGCACTGTAAACCGCAGTATTTGACGCTGCTATTTGACTCTCAGATATGAAGAGCACGTCCCAAATGTACTATTTAGCAGATTAGCACCCAGAAAATAAGAATGTTTACAATTGCGCTGTAACCGAACTATTTCACGCTTCTATTTGACTCTCAGATATGAAGTGCAGGGCCCAAATTTACTATTTTGCAGGTTAGCACCCAGAAAATAAGAATGTTTACAATTGCACTATTTGACTCTTCTATTTGACTATCAGATATGAAGATCACGCCCCAAATTTACTATTTAGCCGTTTAGCACCAAAACAATTAGAATTTTTACAACTGCGCTGTAAACCGCAGTATGTGATACTTCTATTTGACTCTCAGATATGAAGAGCATGCCCAAATGTACTATTTAGCAGATTAGCACCCAGAAAATAAGAATGTTTACAAGTGCGCTGTAACCGCACTATTTGACGCTTCTCTTTGACTCTCAGATATGAAGTGCAGGGCCCAAATTTACTATTTTGCAGATTAGCACCCAGAAAATAAGAATGTTTACAATTGCGCTGTAACCGCACTATTTGACTCTTCTATTTGACTATAAGATATGAAGAGCACACCCCAAATTTACTATTTAGCCATTTAGCACCAAAACAATTAGAATTTTTACAACTGCGCTGTAAACCGCAGTATGTGATACTTCTATTTGACTCTCAGATATGAAGAGCACGCCCCAAATTTACTATTTAGCAGATTAGTATCCAGAAAATAAGAATGTTTACAATTGCGCTGTAACCGCACTATTTGACGCTTCTATTTGTCTCTCAGATATGAAGAGCACGCCCCAAATTTACTATTTAGCAGACTAGCACCTAGAAAATAAGAATGTTTACAATTGCGCTGTAACCACAGTATTTGACGTTTCTATTTGACTCTCAGATATGAAGAGCACGCCCCAAATTTGCTATTTAGCAGTTTAGCACCAAAAAAATTAGAATTTTTACAACTGCGCTGTAACCACAGTATTTGACACTTCTATTTGACTCTCAGATATGAAGTGCACACCTCAAATTACTATTTAGAACCAAAAAAATTGACTTTTTAAAACTCTGATGTAACCACAGTATTTGACGCTTCTGTTTAATTGACTTTTTAAAACTCCGATATAACCACAGTATTTGACGCTTCTATTTGACTCTCAGATATGAAGTGCACTCCACTAATGTACTAGTTTGCAGAATTCTTTCCTAATCTGTCCCTGAAAGCGGCAGCATCCTCTCCCTACACTAATAAGAGCTCATGTGCAGTGGCGTACACATGACCCATGGGGCCCCGGTGCGAAAATTGATCCGTGGCCCCCCCCCCACACTTACTCAGCGCGGGTCGGGGCTCCAACACATGGCGGCGGGCACCTGGTCGCAGGGGTCGCAGGGGTTGCAGGGCTGCGACCCTGCGACCATGGTATGCACACACACTTAAAGGACCACTACAGACACCCAGATCACATCAGCTCAATGAAGTGGTCTGGGTGCCAGGTCCCTCTAGTTTTAAGAAAAAACAACAATATATGTGAACACAATACCAGTGAAAATGATATAATATAGGAGCAAACCAAGACTTCCCTTATCTTAAGGTGAAGTATCCAGATAAATCCCCGAAGACTTCCTCTTGTCTTCAATAGATATACACAGAAAAATAGGGGACAATCTGCTAAATACAAATAAAACAAAAAAACATAGCGTATAACTGTGTGGAGACTGGTATTGATGTGCAATCACAAATGGTCACTCACAATTTTGAGGAGTTAAAATAGCCTTGAATTATGTCTTTATGGAGTTAGAGCAGCTTTAAATGGTGTTTTTCAATATCCAGTGTGTTGTCCCTCCTCACATATTCATCAGCAAATAGGTATATATGTCTCAAAGAGAGAAAATGTACAAAAATGTAGTGCACTTCCAGAATATGATAAAAAGTATTTTAAAAAGTATGATAAAAATTAAATGTAAGTCATTAAAATACTTTTTATCATATTCTGGAAGTGCACTACATTTTTGTACATTTTCTCTCTTTGAGACCCTCTAGTTTTAACCCTGCAGCTGAAAACATAGCAGTTTCAGAGAAACGGCTATGTTTCACTGAGGGTTAATCCAGCCTCTGGTGGCTGTCTTATTGACAGCTGCTAGAGGAGCTTCCGCGATTCTCACTGTGAAAATCACAGTGTGAAGACACTGAACGTCCATAGGAAAGCATTGAGTAATGCTTTCCTATGGGCGGTTTAAATGCACGCGGCTCTTGCCGCGCATGTGCATTCGGAGCTGAGAGGCGGAGGGATCCCCAGCGCCAAGGGAGTCCGACGCTGGAGAAAATGCTGAAGACACACACACACACTCACGAACAGACGCATACACACTAGCTAACAGACACACACATTTACTGACAGAGACACACTCAGTGACAGACAAACATACACACTCACTTACAAAACATACACTTTCACTGACAAACACACACTCACTAACAGACATCAAACACACTCAGTAACAGACACACACAGTAACACACTCACTAGCATACACACACCCAATAACAGACACACTCACTAGCAAACACACTAACACACACTAACACACAAACACACACTAACACACACACACACACACTAACACACACACTAACAGACACACAAACACACACTAACAGACACACTAACACACACTAACAGACACACAAACACATACTAACAGACACACAAACACACACTAAGAGACACACAAACACATACTAACAGACACACTAACACACACTAACAGACACACAAACACACACTAACAGACACACTAACACACACACACTAACATACACTAACAGACACACAAACACACATACACTAACAGACACACAAACACACACACACTAACACACACACAAACACATACTAACACACACTAACAAACACACACTAACACACACACACACACATTTTTACAAAAATTTAATCCCCCAGCCTCCTTACCTTTTGGAGAGCTGAGGGGATTCCCTGGGGTCCAGTGGTGCTGCGGGGCGGGCTGGCTATCTGGGTGGCCGGTGCACGAGGGAGCACTCTCCCCTGTGTGCTTCCTCTTCAGCTCCGTTGCGCGCCGTGTAGGGATGCCGGCGCCGGAAGATGACGTCATCTTCCGGCTCCGGTATCAGTGCGCGAGGGAGCTGAAGAGGAAGCACACAGGGGAGAGTGCTCCCTCGCGCACCAGCCACCCAGACAGCCAGCCCGCCCGCCGGGGTCAGCAGGGCAAGCCTCGGGGGGCCCTGAGGTGGCCGGCTCCTGGGCCCCCCAGGGGAAGAGGCTGGCGCTGTGGGTACATACCGGGTCGCAGGGTATTTTGATATTTTTTATATGTTGAAATATATATATATATATATATATATATATATATAAAAAATATGAAAATAAGGTGCACTCACAGGTCTTCAAATGTTCTTATTTTTATTTTACATGCAAATTTACATGTGCAAAAAAATCTACAAACAAATCGACGTTTCGACCCCTAAAGGGTCTTTTTCAAGATCCCACCCTCAGGGACCCCCTCCCGCCCGGCTGCGCGCACATTCAGCCAGTCACATAGGAAAGCATTTACAATGCTTTCCTATGGACGCTGGCGTGCTCTCACTGTGAAAATCACAGTGAGAAGCACGCAAGCGCCTCTAGTGGCTGTCAATGAGACAGCCACTAGAGGCTTTGGGGGAAGGCTTAACCCATTAATAAACATAGCAGTTTCTATGAAACTGCTATGTTTATTAAAAAATGCGTTAACCCTAGCTGGACCTGGCACCCAGACCACATCATTAAGCTGAAGTGGTCTGGGTGCCTAGAGTGGTCCTTTAAGACGCACATAGATTCTGTTTCCTACAAATCCACTGTCACAGTTGATGACTGTCATATGTAGTGAGTGGCTCCATACCAAACACAAAATGGTTGCACTTTAAACCATGCAATGCTGGACTGGCAAGAGCCCTGCTCAACTTTT